AGCCAATTTGACATCGTGAACCCCGCGCGCGTGGGCTTAGGCACCTGAGTTTCTTTTCCTTTTTCTTTTTTATTAAAAATTTGATATTATTTTATGTTTTTTTCTTTTCTTTTCTCAATAACATCCTCTGCAGATTCTTTTTCAGATTGGTGAAAACATTGAAAAGTCTAGTCATGTATCAGAGTCAGACGTTCATCGAGGTGAAATTTCCATTGCTGCACCCGAGACATTCTTGGGTGCAATGCATTGTATTGCCTCTCATCTCATTTACAATAATCTTATTCAGAAAACACATTACAAGGAAATTGGGTAATTATCAATCAATAGATTATATATACAGTGATTGTAATAAAATTGACACGTAGTTTTTTTCCCCTTCTACATTGACACATGTTTCTTATCAATTTGTTTAAGCTCAGAATTTAATAAAAAAATCTAACTGGCCAAATTACTAAAGTAATTTTTTTTTAAATTTTTTTAGTTTAGGAACAAAAATAGTTAAAAATTATATTTGATAAAACTGATTTATTTATCTATATAGAACATAAACCGGTAGGTAATAAATTAAATTTGAATATATAATATATATATATATATATTATTTTTATTGTCGGACACACTGTTTATAAAATACATAAATTATAAAATATATTACCAAATTTGAAAAATAAAACAAATGGAAATTTCTTTAGTTATTAAATATGGATTTATTTTTCTGCAGTCAATATAAATAAGTTATTTATATTGAGCTCAAAATGACATTATTTTAGGACGAAAATTAAAATACTTTTATAATTAAAATTTATTTCAAGATTATAATAGTCTTTTTCATTATAATTTTTTAATTTTTCAACTCAAAACAACATTATTTTAGAAATAAATATAAATAACTTATTTACTTTCACTATAAAAATATTAAAGCCATATACACGTCGAGCAAATCGTTTTAACTCAGACATGTGTTTTGGCCTTTTCTCTACGACACAAAACAGCAGGGAACTGTGAAAATTATGTTCGAATCAGCTTTCACTCTATTAAATAATATCGAATAAAAATTAAAATTCTTTTCACGTTATCATATTTTTGTTATACTAAATTTGTCTACAGTGATTTTTATTTGAAAATTTCTACTTGATTACTTTTGCCAACTCAACCAAACAAATCCTCAATAGGTCTAATTAGTGAAATCCATTTTTTCTTTGTTTCAAGTTTTTATTATGGGTAATTACATGTGTAATAAGGATCATAGAAAAGAGTTATTACCATGTTTCAAAACCCCAAAGATTTTATTTTTGATAAATTAAATGCACAAGATTATTTACTGGAATCAAAATTAAAATACTTAATTTATGCGTTAGCCAAACCAGTTTGAGAACAACTATCCATAAAGATTTAAGCCCAAAGGAATCAGTTTCTGGGCGGGCTTGTCGGTCATAAAATGGGCCACTTTGTAGGAAACCAGATCCCTCCTTTGCCTTCAAAAGTATTCTCACTACCAACTTAGATTGTTGAATCGCAATAGGTACCGTATCGAATATCGTTTAGCCGATTTTTCGTATCGTATATCGAGAATTGTATCAAATAGTAAAATATTAAAATATAATAAAAAATAATTTAAAATATATGATATTAATTAATATCATAGAAACCCAAATTCCAAAAATAATCCAACGATCAAAATACATAAAGTGTAAATCAGTTATTCTCTTATTCATCAATCATTAAAATTAGGGGTGTGAAAAAATATTGATTCACTTACCCTACCCTTGATCTGACCTTGACCTGTCCCATAAATACTTATTTTTTGAACTGGGTTTAAATACTGACCAATTTTTATTTGGATCAATTTTTGACCTGACTTGTTTTAATAATGATCCATTGACCCAAAACTTGACCCAGACCCATATGTGAAAAAAAAAGAAAAAGAAAATTATAATTACGTTAAAAGAAACGTTTTACTGTAAAACAATTACGTCACAAATTTTGATTACAATATTTTTCGTCAAAATTTGTGACTAAAAACATTTCTATAAAAAAATTTGACGGAATTTTTTTTTTGTCAAATTTTGTTACAAAAGCTAAATTTCGTCAAAATGTTTCAAAAAACAACATATTCATTAAAAATTTCGACGAAACACATTGTCATCGAAATTTTTTGATGGAAAATTTTTTTATAAAAAAACTTTACAGAATTTAAATTTCGGCGAAAACATTTTCGTTAAACTTTTTGAAAAAAAAAATTCGCCGAAATTTCTAGCGAAACACATTTCCATAAAAAATTTCTGACTAAATATTTTCGTCAATTTTTTTAATAAAAAATATAACCATCAAAATTTTCAACGGAACACTTTTCTGTCAAAAATTTGTGACAAAAAATATTTCGATTAAAAATTTTGACAAAAAAAATATTCTGTCAAAATTCTTTAGAAAATCTAAATTTCGTCGAAAGTTTCGAATGAAATATTTTCCTCAAAACAATTTCAGTTGAAATTTTCGTCAGAACACATTCCCATCGAAATTTTGAACGAAAAACATTCCGTCAAAATTTGATGGAATTTTTTTTTTCGTTAAAAACATTTGATGGAGGAAATCATTTTCGTCAAAAATTTTTATGGAAACTAAATTTCGTCGAAAATTTCGATAGAAAATTTATTTTTGTAAAAAATTTCATTAAAGAAAATATTTCAACGCTTTTCGACAAAAATTACTCCAACGGAAAAAAAAAATTGGGACGAAATTTTCGTCGTTTGCAACGTAGAAATTTCATGAGTTTAAAAAAAAAATCAATAACTATAAAAAAAACAAATTAAAAACATGTTTTGAAATCAAGTCAAAAACGGATCAGGTTGAATTTGACCACTTCAGAAACCAAATCAGAGCCACTTCAGAAACCAAGTCAAGTCAGATCCGAACCGGTTCTGAACTAGTTCAAAAAAATTCAAACCAAGTCAGATCTGACTTAGATCAAATTAAAGCGGGTCAGGTCAAAATAACTGACCTATAAAACTAAGTGAGGTCGAGTCGGCACAAAAACCTGACCCGACCTGACTCATGCACACCCCTAACAAAATTAATATTATCACTACTTTCACTATCAACATCTATCAGTGACATAGCTAATTTATCATCATTTTTATTAGGGTAGTCATTTGACTCATCTCTCATTTATTGTTCAACAATCTGAGATCTTTTTCCTTATCATTCTTGTTGGCTGAATTCGTTGGACGTTTATACCCTTTGAATGATTTTCAAAAATAAAATATTTCTTCCTTAGAAATTGAAGAGATTTAGCATATTTATTTAATTATTTTTTATTAATATAGATTTTTCATATTGATTTTTGTGTTTAAATCACAAATTAAAATTTTATTTTCTTTCCTTATTAATAATAATTTTTAGATTTTTTTAATTTAAATCATAAATCAAATATTTATTTCTTTTTATATTAAAAATTATAATTTTTGATTTAATTTTTGTATCATATAATATATATACTGTATCGTTCGATACAAATTTATTTCTGATATACCTAACTATATGTATAAGTGTGCTTGTCAATCGGATGATATCGTATGATAACTATGCTACCAACAACGGGTCACGACCAAAATGTCCCTCCTTCAACACCATGGTTCTCGTAGATTAAAACCCAACAACTGCACTAGTAGCAGCAGTCATGGCAACGATGATGGGACCAACGTGTCGAACTCAAGCTATATTTGATTAATAAATATATTTTGATTAAGGACTCCTTCCTTCTTATAAAGTTTATAACGATGAAGAGTCTTCTCTGGGTTTATATATAAGTATACATCAATTATCTGTCTACTACACTTTTCTGCTTTCCAACATTATTATTATTTTTTATTACTGTTTTAAATAATTAAAAAATAATATTAAATACATCTTATTAATCCTTTAAAGATTTAAAGATAAACATTATGATAAAATAGTGGCATTTTATTATAAATTTTGCATAAATTAATCTCAACCATCCATAAACAAATTAATTGTAATTACTAATTAGAGATAAAAGAAAAAACACATAAAGATAGAAAGTGAAGAAAGAATAATATTTATTTATAAATAGTTGAGATCGTTTATTTAACATGACCTGATAATATTAATATGATTAATAGAATGAGGATATACAGACTAACGTTAATCAAACGAATTATTATTATTTATTTATTTATTTTCTATATGAATCTTAATTATTTGTTCGAGGTCTTGGGTCTCACATTAGTTATATGATAATTAATGTGAGATTTATAAGATATTGAACATTTATTTTTTGAATTAATTTTTGAGCTAGTGATTTATTCCTAATAATTGATATTTTCATTCAGAATTGAGCCCACAAAAAGTGTTATTTGTAGGCTGAATTAAGATGTCGTGTCTGGCCGATACAAAATATTTCTACCAGATATATTAAACCCTAGAAAGAAAAACAAGTAATGTTACTATATTTTCTTTTTGGAAAAAAGCGAGTAAGAAAAACAAAAGAGCAAAAGGGAAAGGAGCACTAGCAGCTTATAGCAGATTTTGGTTTTCATCGTCCTTTTTTTCTTTTTCTTTGTAGTAAATTTCCGTTTTGGTCCTCCAAATATTTTAGGATTTCCGTTTCGTAGCAAATAAAAAAAGTTTATGTTCTCTGAGAAATTTAAAATGGACTCATTTAGTTGAAATCGTAGATCTTTATAAATTCAAAAAAATTCATATTAGTTTTAAAAGAACTAAAACGAGTCCATTTTAAATTTTGCATGAAAGATCTTTTTATTTGCTATGGACTAAAGTGAGCATTGTGAACAAAAAGGTTATTTACTTTTTTTTTCTTTTTCTTTTTTTATGTAAGAAAGAGAAGGAAAGTCTTTCTCCAACTCCAACCCACTATCTTCATTCAACTCAGCGGATCCTCATCTTTTTATCAAAATAGGTGCTCCTCTTTCTTTTTTATCTGATTATATTGTTCAATTCCCTTTTTCTCAGATTCCAAAATTGCCTTCGCTTGTTCCTCACATTTGTTATTCTTTAAGCAATTTAATCTTTTAGCTGGTTTTGGTGGTCGGTGGATATTCGATTTCAACTATGTCCGTTTGATTATGGGTTGGGGTTGAATTTCAATTTTTCTCCCATCGTCTCTGAGATCAGTTGCTAGGAGAGAGAGGAAAAAAACAATTTTTTGGAATATCATTTGATTCTCTTCCTGCCCATGAGATTATTTACAGTTTTTTTTTTTTTCAAGTTCGTTTGTTGATTTAACAATTCGATGTGCTGCTTTGATTGTAGTTGTTGCTTGTATTGCTTCCCAAAAATACTGAACTTGCTATAGCTTTAAATGTAGGCGTACAAGAATTTGCACCTCGATGCATTAATGTTCGTTGGGCTTTTCTCTATTTATTTATTTTTTTGCAACAAAGCTTCAGATATACGGGGTTAACTTTATTTTGTTTGCCATTGAGTTATAGTTTAGGAGAGAGAACTCGAGCATTGGTAAAGTTGCTCCTTTATGATTGAAATGTCATGGGTTTAAATTTGGGAAATAATCTCTTTGCAAATATGCAAGGGTAAGGATAAGGCTGCGTATAAGGATTGTCCTCATCCCATCATCGCTAGTCGGGGTTTAATGACGAGTGATTTATTGAGTTATTGTTTCAAAAATAAGTACTAGCTTCACCTAAGCATGGATTGAGGATTCAATTCTTTACATGTGCTGTAAGTTGTAGACATTTTCAAATGCTAACCAGACAATGTTTGATGTAGAACTCCAGTTGCAGGAGATTTGATGTCTGGAGAACGTGCACTTTGCTTTGTATTTGTGTAATATCATTTCAGTAGTATAGGTGAATGCTATAAACTTTCTGAAGCTTCAGAGAAGCAGAAAATATAGATGATTATAGTACATGTGTTTGAAATGGAGAAATTGGGTGATATATATGTGATTAAAGTATAGATGAATTTACTTTTAAGGCTTGATCTGGTTTTAGTTTATTTCAATATATGCGTCCAACTTACTGGGCTGCATCCTTTTAGTTCTAGAATTACAACTTATTGTGCTGCATCCAACTTAAGCTACTGATATGATAGAGCTTTGCCATACATTATTAGTTGTAATTGCCTTGTTAATGGTTTTAATGTGATGAAATATCACGCATTTGAGCTTATCTTTATCCTGATACATGTGCTTTGTATTACTAATCTTTTAGTCATAACTTTTATATTATGTTCTAACATTTTTGTGCAACATTGGACAGGGCATGGCAGCAGATGAAGATGTTTACATGTCAGCTTTGAAGTCTCAGCTGAGTCAATCACATGAAACATGGAAGCAGGAGATTGAAAGAAGCAAATCCCAAGTGGATGTATTGCAAGCAAAGCTTATTGACGTAAAGGCTTGCATACAGGGTTCAGAGAAAGATGGAAAAAAGGAGTTGGAGGTTCTTTGGCGAAGAGTCAAGACTGCTGCTACATTGGTGACCTACTTAAAATCAAAAGCTAGACTCATGGCTGTTCCTCATCTAGCTAATACATCTTGTGGCATCAAACAATTAGAGGGGGTAGGCCTTGTTGACAAAAATGGGATACCATTATCAGGTTGGTCCAGGAGTATTGATCTTTCTTCATTTGATGACACAGATGAAGAATCTTGGATAGGAATGAGTCATCAGCATGGTTCCTTAGATGAACAGGATGCAGCTTATATAGGTGAGATATTCAAGTCTGTACAGATGGTCGCAGATGTGATGGAAGCTCTTGTCAAAAGGGTTTTATTGGCAGAATCAGAAACTGCATTAGAGAAGAAAAAAGTAAGTTTAAGTCAGGTAGAAATTAAGCTGAAGTCTGCCCAGTTAAAGAATATGTCTTTGAAATTAGAGGAGATGGAGTGTTTTGCTTTGAGTACAAATAGCATTCTAAATGAGATGCGGCAGAGAGTTGAGGATTTGGTGGAAGAAACAACCAGACAGAGACAGCGAGCTTCTGAAAATGAAGACGAGCTTTGTAGAGTGAAGCAGGAATTTGAGTCTCTGAAATCATATGTGAATGGTCTAATCACAGTAAGAGAAACCTTACTTTCTTCAGAGAAGCAATTTCAAACTATTGAGAGGCTGTTTGAAAGGTGAATGAGTACATTTCATTTTATTCAAATATATGTTATATGCAAATATCCTATTATTACAAGTCTTGATAATTATCTGATGTTTGACCTACATCAAGTTGCTTGAATTAAATGCCTCAGACACTTCCTGCTGCATTTTTGTGCTTGATATATATGTTTACTTGACGCCATGTCATCATGTGATTTTTCTTGGGTCAAGTGTTCTTCTTTTGTTAAATAATGTTGTCCTTTTTGTGCACGTGGATAGGGTTTTCTGTATGCATATAAGCAAGGTTTATCTTGGTCTCCAATCTTTAGGAACAAAGTTCTTGTAACTGAAATAAATTTGGGACCCTTTAGTGACAGAAGAAGAAACTACTATAAAATTAGTTGTTGTTGACATTTATGATAAATTCTACAAGGTGAGTTAAGAGTTAACTACATTCTTCTTTATAATTTTTTTCATTGCAATTTGGTTAACGATAATGCTTTTATTGGAACAAAATCTCATCTTTTAACACACTATAACTTGACTATTGTTTTGTTTAAGAGGCTGTCTTATTTATTGGTTCTAATTGACTTAGTTTAATCTATCCCATTAATCTATCCCATTTTAGGTGTTGTAGCATTTAACCTTTTTGAGAGTTGCTGGATTTGTTTTAAAAATATAACCTTGTTGGAAGTTTGCAACTTAGCATGTTTATGAATGCATTTTTCCTGCTATTCTTCCCTGCAATAGCAAACTAAAATTGTGGATTATTAATCTTTCTGTGTAATTACAGCATATCTTGAATAGTTGTTGCTTGATTGACGTTAGCAACTGATTTATGTATTTACAATCCCATTACTTTAAATACTAGTATTGATAAAATTGTTGGGAAGTAGAGGTGTAAATAGACAGGCGGCTTACAGCCTGGCCTACTCTATTTTCTAAATAGAGCATGTTTAGGCCTTTAGAAAAGTCCATTTTAAAAATTGGGAAATAGAAGTATCATGTTGTAGTAAAATGATTATGTCATGCTATAGACACAATCAATGTGAACCCCCACCATTTTTAAAATATAAAAAAGAAAAGAAAGTGGCAGGGTCCACACTGGTTGTGTCTATAGCATGACATAGCCATATTCCTACAACATGATACTTCTATTTCCCTTAAAAATTAGGCCATATGTCTATTTTAGAAAAGTTCACTTAAATCTGAGATCATGATTTGTAACACTAATTTCTAAAGTAATATAATTGATGTTATTTCAAAAATAATAAATATTTATTTAAAATTTAAAATATAATATTAAATTAAATTAGTAAAGAAAGTGCAAATTGTATATATATATATATATATATATAAAATTTTCATGTGATTTTTATGAACATTATTTCATGTGTTGTTGATGAAATAATATTTTCATATGATCTTTGTGAATAAGAAATTTTATATTTTATATTTCAGTTTGGTTTGGGCCTATAAACTTTAGTTTGCAACTTGGTAGGCCTTACAGGCCATATTAACTTTTAGGCTTTTTAGTTTTTTTTTATAATAGGTCAAGCCAGACATATAAATCAAGCACTTATTGGGAAGTGTCTCTCCTTGTCTAATCAAATGTAAGCATGTTCTAGCCACAAGGGCACAAATGGTTTTTTGAAAATATATGAAGGGATATACCCATTGTAACAAAATGTGAATTGAGGCTTTCCGTGAGCCTAACTCATTTGGTTGTAACATTTGCTTGCAAATTCCCAACAAGGGGTTCAACATCCCCTAATGAAGCATTTTCTTTTCCATTCCACTCCCCCTCAAAAAAAAGAAAAAAAAAGGCACGAGGTTCAGGTCCAAAAGGCTGTTACTCCATTTCCGTGCTAATACATACTTGTGCTTTTGTTGCATGTAGATGTGAATATCCATACATTTGCTTGTTAATGGAGTAAAATATTAATTTCAATCCTCGAGATTTATTTGTCTTACTTCCTGTTGCTGCTCCGGAGCAGGCTAGTTGCAAAGACTACTCAATTAGAGGGTGATAAAATGCAGAAAGAGGCTGAAGTTCAGAAACTTATGGAAGAGAATGTGAAGTTGAGTGCTCTGCTTGACAAGAAAGAGGCTCAACTTCTGGCATTGAATGAGCAATGCAAGGTAATGGCCTTGAGTGCTTCAAACATGTAAATGCAAATGAACCTGACAGATTGATTGCTTTCTTCTTGACTGCTTCCATGCTGACTTCCGGAGGCATCTAAATGAAGCTTCACTGGATAAAGAACTTGATCAAGGTCCTCTCATCCGCAAGAAGCACAAACAAAGGGCTCTTCATAAACATCATTAATACCTTTATTTTATTTTATGGTGCCAATTTTTTTTGTCCCTGTCAAAATTGAACGCAGAAAATGCTTGTACTTGGAATGTATACTTGGCGTGCTCTTTCACAGGAAAAAAATGAGATATGATGTGACTCTTTGCTGCAAATGTTGGAGACCGAATAAAAAACCTAGTATCATAGATACCACCAAGTTGATATTGTAATTGTTAATTACTGTTAGGCAAAAGTATGAACCTTTCCTCGAGATCATCCATCCAGTTTGCCTTAGCAAAAAAAAAAAACGGGGGAGGGGGGTGTTCTGTCTTCTTTCTTGTGTAAACACATTTCTTCATTACACTGATGTCATGAATACAGTTAATTTAGGTTCGACTTAAATAATCTCAAGTTTGTTCTGTAAAATGTCAGCTTGATATATATATATATATATATATATATATATATATGTGTGTGTGTGTGTGTGGAAGAGGATTAATTTACACCTAAGAATAATTAGTTTTAGGGCAAGGATTCATTCACAAATATTTTTTTACAAATTACATTAAATATGATTGGTCATACACTTGGTCATACACTCTTGATTGACGTATAACCGGTCATACTTAGTGTAGTTTGTAAAAGTTTGTAAACAAAAAGTTTGTAAATATAACTTTTCTCTAAGTTTTATATCAAAATTTAATTATGATTTTCGTCAATTTAATGATTGTGGTTTATTGTGTCACACTCATTAATTAATTCTTAATAAATTATAACAGACAGATATACGGAAATCAACGGTTAAAATTTAATATAAGATTTATTATATATATAAATAGGAACATGATTCTTTGACATTAAATTTTAATCGTTAATTTTTGTCAATTTAACAGTGATAATTTATTAGAAAATAATAATTAATTAATTAATAAATGTGATCTAATAAGTTATAATTGTTAGATTCACGAAGTCACTGTACCGAAAAAAGTGAGAACTATCAAGGAATGGTGCAATAGAGATTGGCAGGCTCATTTAAGTCATATGAAAAGAGAAGGCAGTAGCTGTGCTCATTGGTTGGCAAGATTAGAGTGCCATGCTGAGGAAAACGTTTTAGGGGACATTTGGTAGAAGAGAAATTTTTATTTATCTGAAAAATAATTATTACTGAAATATAGTGAGAAATATATTTTTACTGAAATTTTACTAAAAGGTGTTTGGTGTGACCAAATTTCTCTGGAATTTTATGGTTAAATTTACTGAGTGTAGTGTGTGTTTGGTTGATTGTTAAATATCAGTCAGTGAGATTATTTTATGAAAATAACCCCACATTTACCTATTTACCTTTTGTTTGAAATATGATATTGAAGGGGTCCTTCTAACAGATTCTAGCATGTTCAACATAAAGAAAGGGTATCAAGTGCCAATTATTCTGCATAAAAGAGCGGAATAGCATTGGTTTCAAGTTCTCAAAGCACAAGGCCATTCCAATATTGCAACACCAGTATACCTTGTCATGTGGTAAACAGGGTAAAGCTCCAACCTTGGACAGTAAAGTAGATCTTCTTCCAAAGACATGCGACCAACTAGAGGGAGGGAGCAAATGCTATGGTCACAGATCGTACGGATAAACAAGGTTAATTTGGTCGACATTTTTGCGGGTCTTCTTCCACTTGCCCAGGCAAGAAACTTTTCCATATAATCTATGGAATTTTTCAGACGGGGGTTGTACACAATTTTTCAAAGAAAACCAAATTCCGGGAAACATTTTGAGTCAGGAAAGTTTTTATTTTTTTCCTACCAAACATAGCATTTTTATTTCCCCTATCATAGTTCCCCAGGAAATAAAATATATTCCTGCTACCAAATGGGCTTTAAGAATGCAACACTTTTTTTTTTTATTAATTTTTTATTTTTCTTTTTCCTTTTTTCTCTTTCCAACTTTTTCTTTCTTCCCTCCCACCCAATCAAAAATGATCCCGGAGCACTACATTCCGGCTCCTTGGCTTGGGTACTCTATTGATCCACGATTGGTGTAATCTAGAGTTTTATTTGATTGTGTTTTGATTCTTTTTATTTTTAAATTTTTGTTATAGAATAATTATGAAAATAGTTATTTTTTATTATATTTTTTTTGGTTTTGAAAGTTAAAAATCAAAACAAAACAAAAAACAACTTAGACATATTATCTAAATTTGATTCTAAGAATAAAAAAATAGTTAGAATTTTTTAAACTTTTTTTACAAAGTAAACTTACCAAATGATTTTTTTTGTCCTAAAAATTTAAAAACTGTTTTTAAAACAGTAATCAAACAAAGTCTTAGTTTGTTCCAGTGTTGTTAAACTCAACCCGGGTATCAACCAGATCAGGGTACTGGGTCACTGGGACCGGTGGGTCACTGATCAGACCGGTTGACCTGGATATATATATATATAAATATATAAAAATATAAACATATTAATTCAATTATATTCTTCATATCTAAAATGAATTAAACAAGATTCACTAAATAAGCTCAAAAACATGAAACATAAATAAATAAAAATGCACGTTATTATTATGTCAATTTAAATTGCAAGTCAGAATCACCATAAACATACCTCTCAATGACATTGAGGGGACGTTTGGTTAAGGAATTTTTTTTTGAATACTAGGAAAATGTAATTGATAGGAAAATGGTTGGAAAGTGAGTTAGGTAGGAAAATGTAAAAAAAGTTGTTTGGTTTGAACAATTTTTACCGGGCAAATTAGGTAAGATTTATAAAACCTATGTTTGGTTTGAACAATTTTTACCGGGCAAATTAGGTAAGATTTATAAAACCTATGTTTGGTTTGAGGTAAAATATAGATGGAGAAATAAGTGACAACCACGAAAATATCCCTATTATTAAAAAATTTAAAACGAAAAAAAAAAAGAAATAGTTTGGAGATCAATCCATTCTTCTTCTCGATCGTCATATTTGATATGGTGAAGCTTTGTTTCTTTGTTATAGCCATCGACAAGACCACGATACCAACTTTGGTCCAAAGGCCAAAAGACCTTATTTCTATGGTTCAGTACCTGATGTGCATCCATGTCACCTAACAATATTTCATAAAAATGGCACCTCTTCCTGGAATTATCCTTTTCTTTGTATTGTTTCCTAGGCCTCAAGGCTCTACCAGCAGTATCGACTGATGCCGATCCTGAACCCAACCGAAACTTTGACCCATGATGATTTAGCTGCAGAAGCAAAACAAAGAAAAATGGTGAGGGTATATTTGGCATGATTTGTTGTGGCCCATGTGATTTAATCAGCTTTCATAAAAAACCACCTCTCACTTTGCTTTTTAAATAGTATCGATGCATAGCTAAATGGGGCAAAACTGAAAATGGCATGCATCATGTTTCCCTGGGTATTGCTCCATTTCTCCCCCAACCAAACACATGCTTCTCATAATCCCAACATCATTTGCATGGGCAAATTTAAAACCCCCCAACCAAACACCACCTGAACTCATATTTTTTAAATTCAACTACATTAAAATGACATATGTCACATTCTCTAATTTATTATTCCGCAAATTTCTTCAGTATTGAAACTAAAATTTGAACTTATTGTAGAAGAGTATACTAGCAAATAAAATTATAATTAAAATGAGTTTTACATTTTTTCTGATAAGATGAAACAATTTTAGTTTTTTGGTTTTTTTTTAAATGCATGACCCGACCGGGTCACTGGGTCACCAAGTTTGGCCGTTTTTGTCCTGGTTTTGACCGAGTTTAACCGGGTCGATGCATGATCAATCTAATGCTTAACCCGAACCGATCTGATGACCGGGTTTCGGGTCCACTCGGTCGGGTCGGGCCAGGCCAGGTTTTACAACAATGATTTGTTCTATTTGTTTCTTTTTGGGGGGGGGGGGGTGGTGTGGCAGAGCCACATATATGCTGGGTGTGGTCTCGACCTATGCTAAATTTTAACAAATTATACTTATTATATATAATTATATAATTAATTATAATTTGGCTCGGGTTAAAATTATAATTTGGCCTGGATTACAATTTGTAATTTGACTCTATTTAAAACTTAAAATATTTTTGGTAAGAGATTTGGGTAAGTTATATTTGGTTATATGTTCAATTTCCACTTGTATAAAAAAAATAGTTTTGGTAAGAGATTTGGGTAAGTTATATTAGGTTATATGTTCCATTTTCACTTGTATAAAAAAAATATTTTTAGTAAAATTAAAAATATTTAATAAAATTATAATTCTTCTTGGTACTGCTTGCTCAGGTGCTCTATATTTAATATAATTTAAATGTGGAGTGTTATATTTACAAACTTTTTATTTACAAACTCTTACAAATTACATTATGTACTTCCGAAAGTACACCACTAGGTTACAATATGTATTTCCTGGAGTATATAGTATAATTTGAAAAAGTTTATAAACGAATTCTTTCCTATTTTAAATATATTATGATTTATTTCCAAAAAAAAAATATATATTATGATTTAAACTAACTAAGATTAAAAAAAAATACACATAATTTTTTGGCTCGGACTCAAATCTGAACCTGGATCAAATTTCCCCGTTTATATTGCCTCAAATATATTATGTCGCATTTATTTTTTAAAGATTTTTGTTACTGGATTCCCTCAAAAATAAAATAGTTATCAAATTTCCCCGTTTATATTGCCAACTTAGTCTGCTGCTTCTTCTTTTTTTAAAGACAAATATGGTAACATTTTAAATTTTTTAGAGACTATTTTGATTGCAAAATTTTTGAAAGACCAATATGAAAACAAATTAATCTTTTGAGGGTCTTTCAACAACAACAACAATAATAATAATAATAATAATCTTTTGATGGTCTGGTTTAATAAAAAAAAATCTTGAAGAAACTAACATGGTAATATGCTAATGTTTGAAGGACTAAGTTTATAATTAAGTGTATGTCTAAAAAATTTAAGAAAAATAATAATTATTATTTTGAAAATCTTTATCATAAAGATTAAAATATATTACGTGAAAATAAGTAAATCCAAATAACATAGAAGTATATATATGAGGGTTTAACTTCAATGTTATTGACTTTCTCCTAAAAGTTTGTCTATTTCTCTTATAAAAAAATGATGAGTCATATCTGCAATATAGTTCATGTCAAAAAATTTATCTATGTATTTTAAAGAACAATTTTATAATTCTTATGTTGAAAGCTAATTGAAATCTTATGTTGTAGAAATAAAAAATATGTGGAACCCATGTGTTAGAAAAAATTATATGTAGGACCCATGTTAGCACAAAAATCGAAGGATGTGTAAGAAAGTTTAAATTCTCATGTTGAATGAGAATTATAAAACCCTTTAAAGAATACAATGTAGCCTTTATACTTAATTACTTATTATTATTTTAGACTTACTACTTTTACTACTTAATTGAATAGTGTTGGATGCCAATAAAGATGATCACACTTGGCTATGAGTTTGGTCCATACCCTTCAAGGATGTGGGTTCAAATCTCGTTGGTCGATGTAAAGACTTTGTTGGTAGGTGATATGTAATTCTTCTCAAAAAATTTCAAAGAGGTTGGGATCTTCCCTGACTCTAGTGAGATATCGATACGTAACCTCAATTAAACTTTTCCTACACTAGTGATTAAAATCAGTAATAATTAATATTTTTCATTTTTTAACTATTAATAATAAGCCTAAAATAACCGCCCCAAATAAAATAGTCATTTACTGTACTTTTAAAATATTCCCATTTTGAAGCAGGGTCTCAGCAAGGCAAAAACCGAACACCCGCCGAGGAATCAAACCAAAGCAAAAACAGAAAAGCCAACGCAAAGCATAATCTTCTTCTGTAATGTAGTACCCGCAATTTCTCACTAAAACCCTAAACCTCAATCCTCTAATTTCTGGGTTTCTGAATCCAGGAAACAAAAACACAAACAATTGGCAAATGTCTCACTCTCACCCATTGCCCCTGAAGAGACAAGGTGAACACTTGTCCGATGATGGCGCCTCTGCCATAAAGCCTTCTCGCCTCAAAATTGCAATACCCTCTGAGGATACCGACAAGAAGGTAACCCCCCCTTTTTTTCTTGGCGGTTCTTAGCTTCGATCAGCATAATTTTTTCAACCCTAATTGTGCCATCTCGTTGCCTTGCTTCTTTATTGGTTCTTGGGACCCAAATTTTATTTCATAAAGATTTCATTTTTGGTTCAGAATGCGAACAGGAGGCTTAAAGATGTTGAAATTTGTGTCCCGATAGTGTATGGGACTATTGCATTCTATCTGGGTAGGAAGGCCAGTGAGTAAGTTTTGTCTCTGATTATCTCCCTTTTTCTTTTATGGGTCTCTGAATCTTTCAATCTTTCTCTAATCCTTTATGCTATCAGGTCTCAATCCCATAAGTGGACGGTCTATGTACGTGGAGCTTCCAATGAAGATCTTGGGGTGGTGATAACGCGGGTTGTGTTTCAGTTGCATCCTAGTTTCAATAACCCCACTAGAGTTGTTGAATCGCCACCGTTTGAAATATCTGAATGCGGTTGGGGTGAATTTGAAATATCCATCACCCTCTTTTTCCACAGTGATGTCTGTGAAAAACAGTTGGATTTGTGAGTTTTTTGTTGCTTATTCTGGCGCCTTTATGTTTTGTTGATTACTTGGAGAATGCATTTTATTTTAATTTTTTAATAACTTATGTTACTGGATATTGTTCTTATAGGTTTCACCATTTGAAATTATATCCAGAAGATGAATCTGGGCCTCAGTCAACGAAGAAACCTGTTGTTGTTGAATCTTACAATGAGATTGTCTTTCCTGAACCCTCTGAGGGATTTCTCGCACGTGTGCAAAATCATCCTGCTGTTGTTGTGCCTAGGCCTCCTGTCGGTTTGAATTTACCTAGCCCTGGTATGTTCCTATAATGTTCTTCCTATTATTTCTTCTGTTTTTACCTTCGCAATAATTCCATCAAATTTCCCCGTATTTTGGTTTCTGCAGTACCAATTGATGCTATGAATGACAAGGAGAGAGGTGACACCAAAGATCATCCTCTAAGCCAGTGGTTCATGAACTTCTCAGAGGCTGATGAACTCTTAAAACTTGCAGCAGCTCGCCAGCAGGTTATGGTTGCTTTGTTCTATCATGACTGTTTTATTTAACTAGCTAGTTTTATCGTTAGGGATTTAGTAATGGCATTTATTCTGCATAAGTTTTGTGTGGATGCTTTGCGGCTTTTTTTTCCTTCCTTAAAGCTACAATATTTTATGCAGTTATGGGGATTACAATCTAAAAACAAATACAATAAATTCCCTGATATGCAACTGGTCAAGGTCATATTTTCACAATTGAGATGCTTATTTTATTTTGTCTGCATTCTTCTTGTTTGTAGTCTAGGAGGCTTTTATTGGATGGTTAAATCTAATGGTGTAGTCCATGGTTTATGCCAAATTTTATATTTGTTTTGCACTATTTTGGATGCGTATGGTCAGCACTTAGTTAACTGCTCCAGCTGCACATGTGGACTTCTCTTTCTTACTGGTTGAAAGCATTTTTTAAATCTTGTACTGATGTCTTACTTATGAATTATTTAAGGCTTTTAAAACTTAGTGGGGATTTATGTGCTGACTGTATTTGCAATGTCTTAGGTGCAATCACACATTGTTAAGCTACGAAGACAATTAAGTTTGATGGAAGGGCTACCTCAGCTGTCAAAACCGCCCTCTGGTTATGAATGTACATGATTTTTATTTTAATAATTTCTGGAGCTTCCGTTTAGGGTTAAACTGGGAAGATTAGTGATGAATAATTATGTATATATGCTCGTCATCTTCCTTGTAGATTGAATTGAATATTTCTATATGGAGAAGACAAATAGATTGGAGTTTTAGAAGAATGGTCATGGTAAGTGAAATTTATGCTTAAAATCTTAAATGGTGATAGATACGTGTATTAGCTGTACTTTTGAGGAGTTTAATATGTTATCTCTAGTTTAGATTTCTTTCACTTTAATCATCTAGGCCGAACTTAGATGATTGTTAACAAGTGTGTAGTTAATAATCTTTCTAGCTTAATTTGACTCAATATTGATGTCTGATTCCATCTAAATTTTTTCATGAGGTTATATACACAAATATATACTTTATTTACTCCAGTATATTAAATTAGAGTCCACAATTAGTGTACTCTTCATTAAAGAATGACACATGTTATTCTTAATATTTTTATTTTTATTTTTTAAAATTAATTATGCATATCTTTTTATAGTTTTAAATATTTATAATCTAAATTTTTAAATTTTTACTTAAATTAATTATGTATATCTCTTATAATTTTAAGGTTTTCCTTGAGTTTTTTTTTTAATTTATTTTTTATATATATATTTTACTTAAATTTAAAAAAATCTCTTGAAATATACTAGATAGTTGCTACTAAAATAAATACAAGGTTCATTACAAAAAAAAATAAAAAAAAATACAAGGTTTTAAAAGGAGCATTACTCGATACCATTACCAACGTGTAGCTTCCTTGTAGGACCGAATGAAACAGTTGTGGAATCCTCTTGCAATACATAGTTAACATGCTACTTTAGTTTTGGAGATAACATTCTTATAAGCCCGATTCCCAAGCAAGTTTCAATCCCTCGAGGGTAACCCCCACGATACATAGGACTTTTTAATCGCAGTTACCATGGCTAGTGCTGAATAACCCAGAAGAATAAAAATGCTTAATGTGGAGTGGTTTGTTTTTAGCCAAAGTATACTGAACTAAAATAAACAAAATAAAATAAAATATTCGAGTGCTATGAGTCCAAACACAAAATATGTAAGTGTATAATATATTCCAAAAATTCCTTTGCTTCTAAGCAAACTCCAACACAACCCCAGCTCAGTAAGCAAATACAAGACACAAATTTAGAATATTAAAGGGGGCAACTTTTTCCTCCCCGTTTCACTATCAAAACGAGAGTGGCTAGAAAAAAAAAAAACAATGACGGGTTATTATTAATCCGAAAATGAAGGCACTCGAAGACAAATTTTTGTGAATAAGGAAATGTTCATAGGAATTGAAGCATGTTATACTCCTTAGGCTTTGGGAGAGTCGACTTCGTGGCTTCCCTTCTTTTTAGAGAAAAGCCAACCTATCAAAGGTACTAATGGCTTCCGTTTAGCCTTCTTAACTGAAGGAGGTTTCCCTAGCAATTCATCCTTATTGGGAATAACTTGAGCTAGTGCATGAGGGCTTGCGAATTTCACGTATCTTCTTTTTTGGAACTCAGTTACCTCTTCATCCATTTGTGTTCTGATTCCCACATTGGTTGCATTTGCAATGAACTTAAGGTCTTCAGTCTCTGGATCATCCCTTCGTTGAAGCAACATCAATTCTCTGGCCTTTGTGTCTTCTAGTTCTTTCTTTGTCTGTTCAAGTTCCATTTTGAGGGACTTTAAGCATTGAGCCATGAAGTTAGCCTCTTCTCTAGCTCTCTGAAGGCTTTGCTTTGTTTCTTCTAGCTCAGTGGACAATGGTCCCACTCTGGATTGTGCACTCCCAGTTTCACTAGCTTCAACTCGCATCTTAATCATTTCAATTGCAAAATCAGAAGAAAGTTAATTAACAATATGGTTGAACCTTGTACCGTTAGTGTACATAAAATGTGTCCCATGAGGGTGAAGTATGTTGATATAGGAGGTATCTATAGTGGCAATGGTAAAGACCAAAGCACTAGTGAAGCTTTCCATGTATGTGCATCAAGGGGGAGTGTGTGTGAGAGCTCGGCCTAGAGGCAGAGTAATAGCATAGGAGAGGTGTGGGGAAGCCGATCCCCTCTCCATGTGTAAAAGGGATATTTAGAGAGGAGAGTCCTCTCTAGCATGGGGGAGACCGTTGGTCAGCCCCCTGAGCTGTCTCATTAAGCTGCCCACTGTCAGTGTACAGGGACAGCAGTGCAGGGATAGGGAGATGTCCTAGTGGTGAGCCTCTATGACTTGTCATGGGTGTCCTCTAGAAGGTTCTAGACTGTGGCTTAGGAGATTGGACTCAACTGGTGAGCCTAAGGTGAGTAGTATCTAGAACAAACCTCATTGATGAGTTAATATGCATTATAACTTTACAACGATAACAGAGTAATAACTTATAAATGTAATAGATGCAAGATACTCTCATATGAATAAAGAGATATATGTATATAGGTACGAAAATATTCTCTTATCATAAGAGAAAGCTATAACCGTTTTGCTCAATGACCTCACTATCATGCAGGAGGTGAGCTGCATACAAGGTAAGAGATTAGTCAATAGGTAAGAGCTCTGAGTCTGGTCCAGAACAACATGCATTGGTAAATAACAATAGTATAGATAACAAAAAAGAGAAATGGGAGAACCTCTTTGAGCTTGTTGGCATAAATTTCCCCAACCAATACTCTTTCTCCGAACAACATAACTGCTTCTTTAACAGACTTGAATGGGGCATCAGTGTCAATCTCTGCGCGTCCCCTGATCACCATTCTACCATCTTCCCTGTCCATGTATATGTTTGTCCTTTAGCAAACTAGAAAACTATGCTAGAATGACAAAGTAGCCAAAAACGATTGTAAGACTTGTACGAGTGATTGTCTGATTCTGAAGGCAAAGGAACCACAAAAAGCTCCATTTAATACAAGTAACAGACAAAAGGACTCGTCCAAAGGTCATTAGTAATGGGTATTGGTGGTGTAATAATTGGGCTAACTAGAAAAGAGACTTAGTAGAATCACAAAAACTTTCTTTTCTTCGCGTCCACTTCACTGGTATTTCGTTAATTGAAGTTGACAAGGGTGGTTGGACCGTCTTGATAATTTAGTTAGTTCAATCTATTTGAAATTGAAATTTTGAAAGCACCCTTTTGCAGCCTTGATTAGGACTTGTCTCCTTTCAACTAGAGACATTAAATAGTAAATCATTTATGGGTTCCGTTTCAGGCATCAGTGGAGCTCATGTAAATTTTCATAAGAACATAAAAATTGGGCACTTTCATGTATTTTAGGAGAAAAATAAAATTTCTATCTGGTGCCTTGTCCAAATTGATGATTAAATGATGCTTGCCAACGCCCTCTAGTTAGAACTACTTGCGAGTTTCAAGGATAAAGATATTTTTTATCATATTTGTTGATATATACCTTAAAACGGATTAATAAAAATAAAATGTTTAAATTGTATTTTGTTTTCTACAATTTTCACTAATTTGTGTTTTGATCTCTATTTTTTTTTTTTTTGACACTTGTATTTTTATTTATTTAGTTTTTCGTCTCTATCTTTAAGTGTCGATTACTATATTTTTTTGGGTAAACACTATTTTTTTATACTACAAATACAACTTGAGTTTTAGTCTCTATAATTTTTATTTATCAAATTAAACGATCATTTTTTAATAAAAGATTAATGCATATAATCTATTTTATAAATGTATTAGTTCCAGATGGACCAAAATTTTGTAATTAAAAAACTAATAAGAACCAAAAAATAAATGAATAAAATTAAAAATATTGAGAATATGCAACTGTTCCGTCAAAAAAAATTAATTCTTTTTTTGTCTTTGAGGTGTATCATAATTTTTTTTCTTCGAGTAGACAAGTCTACATTAAAAAACAAAAAATAAATAACATTAGTGGCGAATATTTCGTGAGTGTCATGATAAAATGCTAATAAGACAAAAAAAATTATATATAATTATTTTAATAAATAATAATGGATACATAGCCATTTTGAACCAATCTTTGGATATGGGCGTGGTTCAGATTCCCACCTATTGCTTCCCTTTTTCCTGATCTCACTTATCCAAGTGGCACTACGGACTCCGATTTGTGTTTTTTTTAATGCTTGATTAAGTATTTTTTTTACGAGTATCATAATCAATATTTTTGTTAAATTTGAAAATCAGGTTTAATGCTTTAGCCCCACTTCAAAGCACATCATATTTTGTGGTATCAGTACACATTAGACACACTATATAGGGATGAGATATAATATATATGTTTTAAATTCCGATAAGTGGTTATATACGGCAGTAAATACTAATTGTATGCTTCTTTTTTTGGTGTAGGTGGTTTGGCAACCATACGATCTCTACCATTTCTTACATGCATCTGAGCGTGTGAGCGGTGTTTGTGGTTGGCCAAGACTCCGATTATCTGTTTTAGCACGGTTAAATATTGTCAACCTGACAAATGTATGCGATAGTTCAGTTTGAATCAGCAGATACCACTTAGGCCTAGAAAGCTAAGAGGTGTCCATGACATTACTCTTCGCGGCAAAAAAGATGATAATTGGCCTCATAAGCTCAGGCCATTTATACATAGATGGAAGATTAGAGAGCAACACATAGATGTGCCCCCTCCCCCAACTGGCGGGATTGATGTCACCCAACCTAGGTACATGGTTTGTTATAGGTTGAATGGCAAGCGTTACGTGACGAAAAGGGTTGCGAAGCTTGGACACGGTGTAAGTTACTTATGTTTATAAGTTTAAAGCTTATTAATATATGGTTTTTTTTCGTATAACGTTTATGTTGTCAATTACAGATTGATGGCCTCGAGATGTTGTATTACGCGACCACTACTAAGTTGTTCCCTAGTTTCTCTTTGAAGTAGGTCCATGATGAGATTGGTTGCTTGTTAGTGGTATTTATAGAGAGTGGACGGGAGGAAGAGCCAGGACCACATACACCCCCATCTCAACTTCCGGATGAGCCCCAATTATCTCTTAACATTCCACGTTGTACACAGGAGGGTCGCGGGTTAGGACGTCATTGACAACTGTTGCCACTGGTTCTATAGCCTATTCAGTTACCCAGGCCACACATGACTAGTTTTTTCAGGCCTCCGGTGATAGTCATACATACAACACTCATACCATGTATTATGGAGAGACTCAGAAAGAAGATTTGCCAGATAATATGTTCACTACTCCGGTTGCATCGCATCCATTGACGTTTTCGCAGAGTCAGCATTGCATCAGGCCAATCCAGTTCACATGTCATCTGAACAGAGGACTTCCACTCAGCGAGAAAGCAATAGTCACAGGTATCAGTCGTGGTCTCATGGCAATGTTGACACGTGGTCGCATGTGGATTTAGACGTAGATTCATTAGAGGATTGGCCTTCGTGTCAGCCGACATCATATCCCATACAGCCAGGTACAACAGAATTTGATTTCTTGTATGTTGCGTCACTTGATTTTCGGTATACAGCACCGGGTCTAGTTGCAGTACCAGCTCCAGCTGCAGATGCAATACCAGATCCATATCCAGATCCAGCACTAGCTACAGATCCAGTGCCAGCTCCCGCTCTAGCTTCGGACCTTCCTGCAGAGTCATCACGTGGGCGCGACATACACAAGTTGCCAGATCGTCAGGCGCATCAAAATTTGTGGCCGCGTTGGTCGTAGATTTTATTTGTATTTATTATTGTGCACATTATTGTTACATTATGGACTGTATTATATTTATGGACATTTTTAGGGTTTAATTTTTCATTATTTTTGTTAATTTTTCATTATTTTGTTTATGATTTTCGTGATGGACTGTGCACATTATGGACTCATTTTTTATTACAGATAAACCAACAAGGTAAAACATTAATAATTTAATGACGTTTGACATAGGTAATTTAAGATAGATTTGCCATAGATCCTGGATTGAACCCGAACCGAAAGCCGAAGTATAAGATTCTTGTTTGCTCGGATGATTCCAATCAATATATGTGTAATGTGGGATTCCATCTACCTATATGTATGAATTAGTAATAGTAATTGTTGCGACTTCGGCAAGTGCACCGGTCATAAAAGTAATAAAAGTGTACCGAGTACGAGATCGTTCCCAATAGAATTGGATTTCAATCACTAGTTCACTAATCGCGGTTAGTTGGACAACCAAGATTGAGATGAAGAAAATAGAAATTAAAAATAAGTAGTAGCATTCAATTTCAGAATTTAAACAAGCTATTAAAAAGAAATTGATATTGAAAATCAATAAAGCGTAGTTAAGGTTTCGGTTTCCTCCAATATCCTTCTTATGTCATGGATTAAACAATCAAGTAACCGCCCTTAATATAATGCCAATCAATTCCTCTAAAGTAATTTAGGCTCAATCCCTTGTTATATTAATTCTATGTGATCTTGGAAGAACCCTAGTTCTCAGGCTATTCCCCAAGAAAACATGCATTAATATCAAGAATCTAAAGATTGCATAATTGCCCTATGTCTATCCCTAGATCACAATGATTATGATGAATTTATCAAATCAGGATTCATGCACCAACATCTTTATTGTCATACAATTCCCCTGAATCAATCTAAAAGGAGCAAACTCATATAAAGCATTAAACATAGATAAATTCATTCAATTATAAAAAGAAAAGTTACAGAGACAATTTAATCCATCTACATAAGAATTCAATTGGGTTCCATCTACCCTTAACTACATAAAAATCTAGCCTAGCATAGTAAAATCAAAAACAAGATAAGGTAAAGAAAATCCCTCAAACTCCATTGGTGTGATGGCAGTTGAATCTTCAATTCTTCCAGTGCCTTTGTGAGTTCCACCTGCTTCTAATGCTCCAAAGCATGAAGAACGTGTTTCTCTCTCGTCAATTTAGAATTCTCTCTCTCCCAATTGTTCAAAAGCTCATTTCTTTCGGAATAAACCCCTTATTTATAATGAAGAAACCATATCTTTTAGTTTTCCATAGGATCTTATGGAACCATCACTAAAATCTCCAATCATATCTTCAATTAGATGATTTTATAAATTGAATCTGAATTGCATCGCAAATGGACATTCAAATGTTGAAATCAACATTTGAACGCGCTAGATCTTGAATTTAGTTTTGCCACAAAGCGTTCAAATGTTGAAACCCACGTTAAAATGCGCTCTTCTTGAGCTCTTCCTTTCTTTCAGCGCGTTTGAATGTTGCTAGTGACATTCAAATATGCTCCAACAAAGATTTTGCTTCGTGTTTGAGCATTTAAATGTTGAGTTATGACATTTGAATGTTCTCTTCCAGAAACTTCCTTCATATTTGCTCAGTATTTATCACATTTTAACGTGCTAAATAACATTTGAATGTGTTTCATCACTGTAGATTTAACTTCTTGGATGAACAATGAACTTCCAATTCCAACTTCAAGCTTTAAATCCATTCTTGCTCAAATTTATATTAATTTGCCTTTAAAACCAATAAGGACAAGAGATGTTAGATAAAAATTCAATTTCCATGATTAAACATAAGTATTCGTGCTCTTGACTATATAACACATGCAATATTAGCCCTATAAACATGATAAACTAGAGGTTTATCAGTAACAAAAATAAAAAATCACATAAACATAAACATATATGTATATACGAGTTGTTTACTAACATACATTCATAATGTTGTGGTAATTGAGTCGATCCCATGTCATGATGTTCCGCAACTTGAGACTCCCTCGATCATGATATTCTTCTATTTGAGGCGCGAGCATACCACAATCCTTATCATTGTCTAAAGCA